ATTCATGTCTTGGGCAAGATTACATGAGATTTTATCATGCTACTCAGAATGGTGTGCAATTTAAAACTTATGAATTGCTTACTTCGAAATTTTTCATTCAATATATTTGGACCATGATTGACCATGGTTGACTGTAAGTAACGGAAACCACAGAAAACAAAACTGTGGACAAGGAGGGGACTACTGTATGCCATAACAACTGGAAGTTGAATGTTTGTCATGAAATTTCATGTGTTATTGGTGATTGTGTCACATCCAAATAATGATGGTGATTTTATTGAAATTAAAAAAACTGCTTTATATTTAGTTGGCTTGGAAATTTTATTCATAATTGTATATACTAACTTACTTTCAAAAGAGAAATCCACATAGGATTGCTTAATATTTTGGAAAACTCTAAAATGTAAATTGTCACAATTAATGATAGCTATGACATTCATCAGTATATTTATTTCATGTATACATGAAATAAAAAATCTGTTCACCTTAATTTCTTTGGGGTGAGTGTGTGACGATGCCAATATGAAGGAGCTAGATTCTGTGCCCTTTTTATTTCTGACTTAATATTTCTATTTTAACTATTCAGGCTTTAATTCTGTGAATGGGATATAGGGCCAAACTAATAACAGTAGTTAAAATGATCATACATATCCTTCCGATTTAAACTAATTTTGTTTTGAAATCAGAGTGAAAAAACTTTTTTTATTGGTTAACATTAAATAATTCTATCACTTTTAGGCCATTAAGAATATGATTGAGGTTTTTCATTTTCATTCTGGTGCCATCATTTTGGAATTAGCATTGCAGAAGAATTGATATAGTTTTGCATTTTTATTTCTGGTGGTGACAAACTAGCTACTGTCCACTCATAGAGAGCAGTACCGTACTTGTGAATGGTGGCCTTTTTGTGACAGCCTATAGACTGACATGAAGTGCAGCCTGTGTTGAACTGTCAAGTGAGAGTCTGACAAAAACTCAGCGGACAGAACTAATTGGAGAGAAGGATTTTTGTGCCCTCTTTCTTTCTATTCTTTTTGTTTCATAAGGCAGATATTGTTAAAGCAGCTTGTCTATGTAATATTTGTCTGCCTCTCTTTTCTCGTTGCATGGATCATTTTTAAATTTAAAAATTTGCACTGCAGGTCGTTGAGCACTTCCACATGGAGGTTGGCACAGGACCAAACTCGAGACACGCAACTCATAACAGTTGATGAAAAATTGGTAAGAATTTTTTTCTGTACACTGCTAGAATTCTGCCTTCAGGGTTATTTTTGTGCAATAGATTTTCCTAATGGTGTTTTGGGTTCTTCAAAGAAAGTGATTTAAATTTGAATTTCTAGGTTGTGTATAAATTTTAAGAATTTATTTTTTGAAGTATTTGTCACAGAAAGATAAAACTAATTTGTGTTTAGCATTATACACAAATATTAAGTCATATAAATATTAAGAAATTAAAATTACAAGACTTTCATTTATGTGTAGCAGAACATTTTTACTTTGGTAACACATGTAGTGTTTATTTTCTCAGTTATACTCCTATTTAAGTTGTAAGATACCAGTACTATCTAAAATTAAGTATATTGGGTTTTTCTGGAATCCGTTATTCTAGTGACTGATTATGCGTGTGTATATACACAAATGTACACATCTCATTTCTACATTATGCATGAGTGACTACAACCTGCAACAAATGAATAATATTCTTTTGTTAATTAGTGGCAGATAGAATTTTGGTAACTATAACATAAAATTTTTCAAAGTGTGGTGTTACTGTAAATGCAACTTGTTGTTTCTGCTTATGTTGTGTAATAGTATAAATTTTATAAAGTTTCTAAGACTTTCAGTAAAAATGTGTTATAGCGTATAAGCATGCCTTTTATATCTGGTTTACCATTATCAAATATATGGGTGCGTTTCTTAACTACACCCTTTCTAATTGTTTATATTCTTTTATCACTCAATTTTGAGCGTATAAGCATAATTTGAACAATAACTCACACTTAAGTTTCTATCTGTACCATTACAGATATAGTTAAATACATAAGTAAACAGATAATATGGAAATCTCACATCTTATGCTTATAGCTGTTTGGTTTTAACTTTAAATCATCTCTTAGATCTGGCTTCTGACTTTGCCAGTCTTCTAGTCTGGGCTATTATCATCTTGCACCTAGATTGCTGCAGTAGTTTCTTAAATGATCTCCACAGATATTTTAATCTTCCTTTAATTCATTTTCCACAGGATAACCAGAACAGTCTTTTTTTAAATGCTGTTTTTGTCATCTCTCTTGTGTAAAATCCTTTTGTGTTTCTTACTGGTCTACGAGTAAACATTAAAACCCTAACATGGCCTTTGAGGTTTTTCATGATTTAACTCCCATTTTCCTCTTTCTCTAGGTTTATCTTGTACTACTCACTGTCTTTTATCCTCTTTGCTCCAGCTATATCAAACCTGGAACTTGGCTGTTCCTTTTCCTTCTCAGGGCAAACAGATTCCAGTTAACTCTGCCTAGATACTTTTTACCAGTCCTCTAGCTTTTCATCCAGGTCATCCACTTATTCATCAGATGTTAATCAACTATCCCTTGATTAGTCAAGTATAAAAGAAATGAGGCAGGTATATGTGTGAGAAGAGGAGGATTTACACATACCATGTATTCATTAATTAATGAGGGTATTTTAATTTCTCCAATGGCCATTTCTTTTAAGCCCCAGTATTATAGAGGTTACTGTCTATAAAATTTTCAAATTTTATAGCATTTTCTAGTAATGCTTCTAAGTTCTCTTTCTAGTCTGAAGAATGTATAAGTCAGACAGCAGTTTGTTGCTCTAAAGGTGCTATGAAGCATATCAAAGAGGTATACAGATTGCTTTGAGTTTCGTGCTTTTAATTATATCTCATAAAATTGGTTGTATACTTTCAATGAATTTTGTTGCCCTGTATAGATTTTTTCCAGCTTTGTTATAACTTTCTTGAAGTATGTACTACTCAAAATGAAAGTATGATATTCCAGCTGAAATCAATTGAAGTGTTATGTATAATTATTCAGTTATCGAAGTAATATTTAATATGGATAACTGAAACCCATAGGTAATTTTCAAACCTGAGTTTTAGCCATTCATTTAGGTTTGTATTAAAACAAAGGTATTAAATAATCAAATAGGTGATATAATGCTGATAGGAGTTTTATGTCTTCTTGTTGCTAAACAGTATCAGATGGAGAGTTCAATAAGTAGCCTAATGACAAGACCAGGGGCTGAAGAGTACTTATAGAAGAAATATTAAGCAATTAGAGTTGATTATATTTGCATTTTGGACAAAAATAGTTCTGAAAATATATGTCAATATTAATGATAAAAGTGTTTCAAAATGTGAAGTAAATCCTTATGAGTAGTTTAAAAAGGGATATGGAAACAGCATTTTAATGTCACTATAATATAAACCAATTTATTAACTTAAGATACCATTTTTATTAACCACTCAACACCATATTGCTGTTATATTTATGCCTGAAATTGTATAGAAGCTAAATCTTGTAAGGGAATTGTTAGTCATTATTATGATTTCTATTGGATATTCTTATATACTATATTTAAAAAATATAGGTGATGCCTGTTAAAGCCCTGGTCTTAAGTGAACTTGACCTAGTTGGGGATCAATTTTAGTGGTTATTTTTAGTTTTAGAAAATGGATGAGGAATTTAAAACCAGAGGATAACTTTAGACGTTACCTTGGTTATAGTACTGACTCAACTTACTCTTCATTTAAAAACTTGTTTAAGATAAATCTTATGTGGGAATGCACTAAGTAATTAACTAGATAAAAGCTCAATTGCTAAAGGGCGAGGGTTGGAAGCATGGCAGAAGACTCATAAGCCTTCTCTAGGACAGTGATTCTTAAAGAGTGGTCTGGATTGGGGAGCCAAGACCCTTGTAGGAGATCCACAATGTCAAACTATTTTCATAATTATGCAAAGACTTTATTTGCCCTTTTCACTGTGTTGACGTTGACACCGATGTTACAAAAGCAATCGTGGTAAAACTTTTAGCAACTTAGCAGAAATCAAAGCACTGGGCCCAAACTGTCTATTAGTCATTGTATCCTTCACATCCTCACATTTGAGGTTTAAAAAAAAAAAAAAAGAAAAAATCAGTTTTACTTAACGTTCTTGAGGAAGCAGCAAAAATTATTTTTAAAATCTCCACTCTGCATACCCATTTTTTTTACGTTCTATATAGCAAAACAGAACTATGCATAAAACACTTCTGCCGCATACCAAAGTACCACTGTTGTCTCAAAGAGAAGCACTTGTATGGTTGAGTTGCTGTTGCAAACAACTTAGCCAGTTTTTTCGTGGAACACCTTTTAATTGAAAAAACTCATAACAGATGGCAAACTATGGTTACTCAGTCTTTGGTACATGGCAGACATTTTTTAGAAACTAAACCTGTCACTTCATGGAAGTGTTGCCCATAATAAACTTCAAGCTTTCAAGTAAAATTGATAATTTTTAGAACTTGATTCTGCTGCTGATCTGATTGAGCTTGAAAACTTCCTAGCACTTAAAGACTGTCCTAATGGTATTGGTGGTGATATTAATAAATGCGATTTAGAATATTGCATAATGAAATATGTTAACATTTGGAAGGTCTACATACCTCTGTGAACCAGTTTTTCCATATGACTAATATATAATGATATATAAAATCATGCATGGGTAAAACATTGGTTTAAAATGCCAGAGAGAATTGCATTTAATGCATGAAAATATTAAGGTTATTAAAATATTGTTCCATTTTCTAATTACATATCTGTGTGAGGATGAATTGTCTTCATATATTGCAACCAAAACAATTTAGCACAACAGTTTGAACGTAGGAACAGGTGTTAGAATTAAGCTGTCTTCTATTAAGCTAGAGATTTTTAAAAATGCAAATCATTGCCACTCTTTTTACATAATTTTTTAGTGTTGAAAATATAGTTATTTTTCATAATCATGGAAAATTGGTTCATTATTTTAAACTAAGTATATACCTAAATTTTTCTCTTTTAATTTCTTATCTGGCAGATATCTATAGATATATCTTATATAAACAGAACCTTTTGAGTCTCAATAATTTTCAAGACTGTAAAGGAGTCCTGATACCAATATGATTAACAATCATTCTTCTAAATCTTCTCTTTTCTAGGTTAAACATCTCCATTGAACATCACATGAATTCTAGTTAATTCATTATCTTAATTACCTTGCAGATTGAGTGAATCCCTTTTAAACTGTTGTTGCCAGGATTTCTTAGGATACTCCAGATGTATGGTGCAGGGTTTGGTGGAGATTATTATATCTATTCTTTTAATCTCAGCAGTTCTAATAAGGTAACTTAAAATTTAGGTTCTCATACTTCTTCCTTATGTGGATTTCATAGAGAGCTAAAACCTCAGATCACTTTTTTATTTGTACCATTGTCATGTTTCATTTCTCCTATCTTAAGTATATGCTGTTTTTTATTTTTAACTGTTCTTTCTAGATTGGTTCAAAGAGCATATTACCAAGCTTAATTTTTTTTTTTTACTGTTATATCTGATAGGCAGAATTTAATGTTTATAACATAAGAAATTAAAGGAATTTTTATAGTGTTTCGTGGATGTCAGTATCATTATAAGTACAGAGAAAAAGCTGTTTTATTTTGGATATGGATTGTATATTGACAACATGTATCCTGTCTTTTTTTAGGCAAAGAATGTAAAAGGGAAAGTCTGCCTGGCATTTTCTAATGTAAAGAATCTATTCTTTCATTTTAGAACTATATACAATGTTGACATAGAGAAGAAATCTTCGGAGAATAAAGTTGTAGTTATTTCTTGGATTTCTGTCAATGAATTTTATAGCAGAGCACATGGTAAATTTCTAATCAGTCAGCCTTAAAAATGTCTTCTCTATTGTGTATAAGCTGCTAATTATCCTTTTCATTTACTTCAGAATTAATAAAATTTAAAATATCAAAAGAGTAGATGACAGCATCTTTAATCTCATAAATTTATGTAGAACAGGGATGTTTTAACAAAAAACATTTTGTGGGTTGCAACATTATTATTTTCAAAAACGTGATACTTCCTACAAATAATAAGAAAAGCTTTTCATTTTTTGTTAGTTTTTGTTGCAGGAGTTGCTGTGCTATAGAGGTTGGGTGAAGAATGTCTTTGCCTTTGTGCTTTATTAAGAGAGTAACTTTTCCCTTTATGCTACCCCACCCCAGTCTCCTTTCAGTACATTTGATGAATTTCCAATGAACGTGGGTTTTTTTTTTCTATGTTCACTTGGACTATACAAAATAGAGTAAATTTTCAATACTCTTTAAATATTTTTAGTAGGTGCTCCCCCACAAAACAAGCAAAATATAAATTAGACCTACATAGGTATATTTTTGAAATGCTTTTTAATCATTTTTATTACCTAGTTTTTAAATACTAATTTCTGTTTGTCACAATTACCTTATATTAACTACTACTATAGTTAAATTAAATACAGAGATAGAAAAATCCCCTGATAAAATGTAAGAATTGTTTCAATTTATTAATAAAAATAATGAGAAATAAGCCTTAATAGTTTGGACTTTAGTGTATTACTTCTGTAAAATTCTGTTGGCTGCCATCTTTCCTTCATTCTTCTTTTATTTTTTCAGTAAATACTTATTGAGCACTTATGTGTGCCAGGCACTATGCTTCAGTGTTTATATTGACACTTTAAATATTTTGTTTTCATTTAGATGCTTAGTTATTTTGTTTAAAACTATTAAGCACCACCTGTTTTAAATTACAGTGTTATACATACATAAGTTCTCAACACAAATGCATAAGAAAAAGGAAACTTTATTTAGCAATCTGTAAATCTCAAATTTATGGAGTGGGATGGGGGAAGGATGGCTATCTTTTCCAAGCTTTTTTTGAGAAATTACTTTATCGTACACACTTTAATGTGAAATCCTTATAGAATTTTAAGGAGTCTGTATTAATATCTTTATTTAAAAATTAGGTGTGCATATAAAATGAATAAAGTCAATATTTTGAATGTTGCCAATTTGTTGTGTTTTACTGCTTGACAGTTTCTTCCAAATAGCAATAACATAGTTAAAGCTTTGTTACTTGCTGATTCTTTTAATTGTCATTTGATTAAGCACATGGTATTAGTAGCACACTGGGTGATAATATTGCTGTTTTAGAATGTCTGCGAGCAGCAACAAGTTATTTAATAGACTTTTTTTGTCACTTTAATAGGTTTTAAATTTTTCATTGCTTGAACTTGCTCTAAGAAATTTGTAAAAATAATTTTTGTAAGCTTTCCAAAATAAAACAATTACATTTGCTACACAAGTGTTGGTTTTGTGTTGTTTTTGCCTCTTAACATACTAAAAGTTTATAAATGAAAACTTTTTATAAGACTGTAAACTCAAATTAAATATCTGCCATTAAAAGGTGACCTGCACAAAAAGATAAACTTTAGTTAAAGGCTTACATTTGCTTTGACTGCCTGCTTTTTTTTTTAAGGGGTCAGTTTTCTTTTAGTGAGATTACTTTCTTTTGGTGTATGGCAGTGCTATCTCTGCTAGATTATTGGAAGGAGTAGTGTCTGTGATTGGGATTATACAGCCTTCTAGCATCTCAAGTGTCTGTTTTGTCTGGACTTTCCTCACGAAGCATTCTTGTGCAAAAATTTCAAGGCTTTAGTCTGGAGCACTGGGTCAAAGGATATGTCTCTTTGAAGGGTAGACAGGAGTTTTTTTATGTTTTATTCACTAAGTAGTATTTCATTTTACATCAAAGAATAGCAGCTTTTGAGAACCTTCCACAGTGGCAGTTCAGCATGTGGGGTTCTTTTAAGACTTTCACTAAATATGGAATAATGTTTCTTCATGTTTTTCAGTCTACAAATGCTTATCTATATTTTTATATTTAGATGAAACTATTAAAATAAAAGAAAAAAAGCATTGATTAAATGTTAGTTTGAAAGAGTTTTATTTTTAAAAAACTTAACAATGTACTTCTGATTTTACACTACCCACAAGCTACTGAAAAAAAAAAGGCGAATAGCCTTTAAGATTGTAGCAATACTGTTGCTTAAAATTCTAAGGAAGAAGTAATGACTAATGGTTTTGGAAGTGTAAATTTTATAGTGAAATGGCCATTCTTTAATTGGCCTTTTCCTCAAGTATGAGAGGAAGTGGGGGATGGGGAGAGATACTGATTTTGAAAAATATCAAAAACTCAAGTAATGAAAAATGTTGACTTACTATAGCTAGAAGTAAGTGTTCTTTCTACACCTTTGGAATAGGTTAATAAATGTATTATGAACCAGTAACATTAATCACACAGTAAGTGGTTGCTTATATGTTTAGAAGATTGAGTTATATTTAATATTCCTATCACATGATATATATACTCAAGCATATGAACTAATATTAAAATAGCTTTTATGTTTATGGGTAAACATGCTCTTAAATTACTGAAAATTTATCGAAGTAGAATTATTCAATCATTTAAAATAGAAATATTTCTACTCATTAAACAAGTCAGATCATTTATTATATACAGTTATGCAAAATAAAATTATATTGATATAGAACTTTGTAAAGTATACTCCCAATTAAAATCACATATTATCACACTGTATAAAACTTGTGCTTATTAAATACTTAGAGAGGAACAAAAGATCTACAATATTCAGCCATCTCTATTATCTATGATTCTTCAGCAATTAAAGCAGATTTATTTTCCTCTTTGTTCCCACTTGGAATACTTGAACAATGCTGGAGAATTGAACTGACTGGAATGTTTTATCTTTCAAAAGCTTTAAGGTTCTATGTACCAATTAGCAAAATACAGTAAAGGTTTAAACTGTTAATAGCTACAACATCTTTAATGCATATATCTGTAGTATGCTAGTGCTGTGTAACAGTTCTCCATTGTATGTCTCTTTTAAGGAGAGTAACTGTGTCAGTTTTTTTCTTGCTTTACTACCTGCTGTGTATGGAAATTGTGTATAGTACTTGACACTTGCTTTCAAGAATTTAAAATTCTTGCATGTTATTATGCAGTATCTTTGACTCTCACTAAAGTAGAATTGATATTTTATTTGGATGTTATATTAAGTTTTTTGTCACATTTTAGCAGTCACATTTAGCAGTTATTTTATATGTAAAAAACATTAATTTTCTTTAATGAATTTAAAGTACACAGCTGTGTGTTATCTCCTTGGAAACTGGTTTTTTAATTTTATTCATTTAACTGAATATAATTATAAATGAATCATCAAAGATTATATCAGAGTGTTGATGATTCATTTTATACTGTATTTGAATATATTTGTTTTTATATTGTTTCTTTGGTAGTAAAAAAAGAGTATTTTGTTTTTAGTTGTAAATTTTTTTTAATTGGATGGCTTGCCAGATAATTTCAGAACTCAGTTCATCCAAATACCCACCTTAAACTTGTTAAAGCCTCATGTCCATCATCTTATAGTAAGTTCTTAGTGAAGGCATGGATGAGAGCAAGTGAAGAAAATAGGAGTAACATCTTTTGGTGACAATTATTTATTCTCTACTGGATCTCTGGGAATAGAATTAGAGCAAAGGAAAGGAGAATGCAGATCTCAGAATTTGAAACTAGCAAACTTTGATTCTGTTTCTGTGTTCAGGCTTTCTAATTTTACACATTCTAGTCTGTGCTCAGATTCTACTCTTCAAAATACCACTTGCAAGCTGGCAAACATCATTCATGTTTTGCAAGATGAGGAAGTTTAAAAAATAGGTTAATGATATAGAAGCTTTACTGTATGCAATGTACTATGCGTCCACAAAACTGCCTCCTTATAAGACATACTTTTCAAGAATGTGTGAATAGGCTTTTTGTCCAGTTTGTTTCATGTTTAATACTTCTTTCAGTTTTGAGTATATTGCATATTAGTTAATGAGAGTTTTTTTTAAATTTTAATGCTTCCAATAAAATAGATATTTAAAAATGATCTTGCCTTTCTCTGAGCAACATGTAGATATATACCAAAATATTGGGCTGAAAGTGCTAATTTAAATTCAAGAACTGAGGATCTGATTAGTGTACCGATTTGCATCTATTACAATGACTACGGAGTCTATATTATTATAATTAAAATCTACCAATTAAAAAGGTTTTTAAACCTAATTGAATAGTTTGAGATTTGACATCTGAAATATTAAAATTAGGTTTCTGGTTTAGTTAGCATTATAATGTATTAAACATTCAAATTTGCCTTGCGTGATCTGCACCTAGACTGTTTAGAGACTTTAAGTCCTCCAGGGCTAGGAGTTTTCAACTATGAAAACTTGTGCAGATCCTGCAAGGGATTTTTTTTTTTAACTTATCCCTTATTTCTAGTATAGAATGTTACTGTACTTTTTCTTTTGTTCATTCAATTGTTTGAGTCCATGCTATGTATCATATTCTAGGCCGTGGGGATATAGCAGTAAATAAGGAAAACATCGTTGCCTTTAGAGTTTATATTTCTCATATGTAAGCGTATGCTAACTTTATAAATCATTAAGAAGTTTTCATTAATGAATTTTATAGAAGAAACTCAAGGTGATAGGATAGAGAGTAGCTGACAAGGTTGGATGTCATAGGGGTTATTTATAAGGCGATTAAGGAAAGCCACTTTGTGAAGGTATGATATGTGAATTAAGATCTGAATGATGAGGAGGAGCCAGTTTTATGAGAATCCCACGTAAGAGCATACCAGGTAGAGGAAAAAGGTAATGCCACAAAGTGCAGACTAGCGGGTAGTAGTCAGAGAAGAGAAAGAAAACTATGACATAGTGGGAAAGGGGGAGAGTGATTGATATAAAATGAGGTCAAAGAGGTAGGCAGGGGCTGGATCAGGTAAGATTTTTTTTAGTCATGCCTTTTTTTTTTTTATTATGAATCTTTTTTATAGTTTTCAAAAAGTATTTAACCAGTTATTATATTTTTAACCACTACTTTCTAAAAGGAGTTTTTGTCTTTGTGTTTTAAATTTCTCACATGATAAAACAATTCATTGATTTTTCTATTAAAGAATCTCCAAATTTGAAATTGCTTTATGACAAAGGTCATATTGGGACCTGGAATATTAAATTCATCTTCTTTCTCAAATCTCCCACTTTCCATGGCTCTCCCACCCACCACCACCACCCCCCAAAAGGGGAGAAAAAGTTAGTGGATATTTGTAATCAAGGTATAGAAAGGTAAGAAATTGGCTGAGCTGCTGTCCATCATGTTGGTGCTGACAAAGCCAAAAATATGTTTGAAGTTCTGCACCTTGCTTCAGGTGGTGTCATGGGCTGGTGATGATGGTTGTGTCTTTATCTTAACTTTGATTCTACTTCGACTCTCTCTGCCTCCCTTTTTGTCTTTTTCTCTGCTGCTTGGAGTTTGTCTTTGTGACTCTCTGTTCTTCTTCTGCTGACAATGTAGCTGACAGTCATCTCTTAAAAAATGTTTGTGTTGCCCCCTACCCCTTTCAGACCTCCCTTCCAGTGGCTAGCTCTTTCTCTTCCTCTGCACCTTCTGCCTGTCTGGTTTGGGCTCTC